AATAGATGTTAGCAAATAAACAAAGAAGAAATTCCCTGATGAACCAGAGGTTGTGCTCAGGGATTACCTACACTCATTTACACTATTCAATATTTGTTCTACAGTACCATTAGGTTGATAATATAAAAAAATGTTACAAAGTGTCCTGTATAGTATTAGTTATATGATGAATTATTTAATTAAAGAAGATCGAATCAAAAATTTGAGATCCAGTGTTCTTTAGAAATTTTGTAAAAATGGATTTATTCATGTTAAATGGGTTGATTTTTCTTATGTAGGTTTTATAGATCTCGGGTAAATAGTTAAATATTTTAGGAATAAAGTAAGAGAAATTGTGTTTTCCAATTGATTTATAAGCACTAGTAGTTTGGACTAAGACGAATGGTGAAGGCTAAGATACAAATTAACAGCCAATTTGAAACCAGAGAGAAAATCGAAAACGTACAAAAACTAGATATGGAGAAACTTAGCCAAAACGAAGAAAAGTACAAAGAAGAAACAAAAAAAATGCATCCCAAATACAACCGACCTAATAAATAAAGAAACAAACAAAATAAATGAAATACTAACAACTACATTGCTACATGCCGGGGAAAGAATTGCAAAATCGACGACAAAAAAAGAACAATTATATTTCAGAAGAAGTAGAAAACCTGATGAAGACAATAAGAAGCCTACTTGAACAGGGCAAAAGAAACACAGTAGAATATACTGAAATAAAGCAATTAGAAAAAACATAAAAGAAACCAAGAGAAAAACGCAGGAAGCAAAGATTGAAAGAGTAATCCAGCAGAACAAAAATATGAAATGCTTAAAACAATGACTCGGTAAAACTCAGATAAATGAAATGACAAACAGCGAAGGAACAACCATTAATGATATGAAACAAATAATAAAGTTAACACAAGAATACTATACGCACCTATACAGAACAAGACATAAACCACAGCAAGAAATTCTTAAACAATTAAACACAAAAATAAAAAATATAAACTCTGACATACAACTAGAAATAAGTAAAACAGAAATCAAGAAAGCAATTCAAGAATTAAAAAACCATAAGTCACCTGAAAAAGATGGAATAACTGCAGAGATGCTGAAGAGAGGAGGGAAAACAACTAAAGAAGTCCTACATATCATCATAAACAAAATATTGACCACAAAAGAAATACCCGATAGCTGGAACGATGCGGAGACACTATTAATGTTCAAAAAAGGTGACCGAAAGAACTTAGAAAACTATAGACCTATAACATTACTAAGTGTTGTATTTAAACTACTAACGAAGATCATGACAACTAAGCTTGACGAATACCAAGCAAGAGAACAAGCGGGATTCAGAAAGAGTTTTAGTACTGGCGACCATCTGCTAACAGTAAAAATACTAATTGAAAAGTCGAATGAGTATCAAATCTTATTATACATGGCATTCATAGACTTCCGAAAGGCGTTTGACAGCATAGAACATTGGGCCAAGAAAAATTCACTACAGAACGGCAGAATTGATTACAGGTAAACGGACATAATAACAAACATATACAAAAATGCGAGTACCACAATAAAATTGACGAACGAACACGCCACAGAACCAATAAAATTCGAAAGAGGAATCAGGCAGGGAGACACAATATCGCCAAAATTGTTCAATCAGGCTACGGAAGACATATTTAAAAAAATAGAATGGGATACAAACGGAATAAGAATAAATGGAGAGCTCTTGAACCACTTGAGATATGCAGACGATATAGTCCTGATAACAGATAAGAAGGAAGAGTTACAGAAGATGGCTGAGGAACTAGATAGAAAAGCGACAGAACTATAGTAAAACCAAGACCATGACAAACCAAGAAGACCAAATTAGAAATAGTAGTCAAACAAAATAAATTAGAGCAGGTGGCAGATTACATATACCTAGGGCAGATAATAAAGCTGAACAGGGACAATCAAACAGAAGAAATAAAAAGAAGAACTAGACTAGCATGGGCCTCATTTGGTAAACTATCATATATTCTAAAAAATAAAAAGTTCCCTCAGTACATGCGAACGAAAGTATTTAACCAGTGCATTTTACCAGTTATCACATATGGCTCACAAACATGGACTTTCACAAAGGAGAACATCGACAGGATATCCAAAATACAAAGAGCAATGGAAAGACAGATGCTGGTTATCGGTCTTAAAGACAGGAAAATAAACTCATGGATCAGAGAAAAAACAAAGGTGAACGATGTATCAAGACAGGTTGCAAAACTTAAATGGAACTTCGCCGGTCACAGTCTCCGGCAAAAAGATGAAAGATGGAATAAGCGAATTCTACACTGGAGACGATGGAAAAAGAAAAGAAAAAGAGAAAGACCACAGATGAGATGGACTGACGATCTTAAGAGAACGGCAGGAAAGGACTGGATGCAGATCGCCCAAAATAGAGACCAATGGAGATTAACAGGGGAGGCCTATGCCCAAGAGTGGGCGTTTAAGGCTGATTAGATAGATAGATAGTAGTTTGGACAGAGTCATGAACTTTTCTTCTAGTGCTGTAAGTATGATCCATTGATTTTAAAACATGTTTATTTTTGTATGTAAACAAAATAATGTTTAACAAACATAACTGTCTACTACTAAAAATATCTGCTTGTTGATAAAGAAGTTCTGAAGTCGGGTAAATTGTTTTTGTATATCGAAAATGGTATGAAATAAGTTTTATCAGTATTAACTGTCAGTAATTTCCTATTTAGCCATTCTAGAACCTTTACAGTTTCTGTTTCTGCTAAAGTTTTCCCAAGAATCACTAGTGTAAAGTATGACAGTATCGTCAGCAAAACAAATAATCTTTCCATTTATTTTCATTGAAGCTAGATCATTTATATATATTGAAAACAGTAAAGGACCTAAAACAGTACCTTGCGGTACACCATACTCAATGATTTTTTCAGCACTTACTTTGTTATTAATTTTGACAATTTGCGATCTATTTTTTAAATAACTTTTAAATAGTAAGTACGGTATGCCCCTTATTCCAAGATTATTTAAAGCACTTAACAACTGCTGATGACAAACAGTGTCAAATGCCTTAGCTAGATCCAAAAATATCGCTAAAGTAGGAGAACCATTATCCAGCATCTTATATAAATAATCAGTAGCGGACGTTATAGCATCTGAAGTGTAATATCCCTTCTTAAAGCCAAATTGGTTTGGAGACAGCAGGTTAAACTTTGTAAGATATTGATTTACTCGTTCTGCTAAGGCTCTGCCTTTTCTAAAATTTTTTCAAGGCTGCTAATAAATGATATAGGACGATAATTTTGCACCAGTTTTGTATCACCTTCTTTAAATATAGGTATAATTACAGCTTTTTTAAAAAGGTCAGGACATATACCATGTCCAAATATTTTATTTATTAAATCAGTTATCGGATCAACAACATAATTACAAATGATCTTTAACAGGTCGGCGGAAATGTTGTCTATGCCTGGAGATTTTTTTGGTTTTAGCAAAATAATAATACTCGGAACTTCTGATTTTGTTACGGGTTTTAGAAAAAACGTACTATGGCATGTATTTTTTGGAGGATCAGAAGAAGATGATATTTTAATATTTTTAGCAAGCGTGCACCCTACATTACTAAAATAATCATTAAAAATATTGCTAATATTCTAACTATCAGTGATTACCTCCTAATTTTGATTTAAAATGGAATTAATTTCACTTTTTGTACTAATATTATCCAATTTTTTAATAGTATTTCACATACCTTTAGAACTATTTTTATATTTTGTAATTTCCGTGTGAAAATAATTTTTTTTGTCCTAATAATTAGCTTATTTAATTTATTTTTGTAAATTGTGTAGTCTTTTTTTAATGTTAGGTCATCTGGGTTGTTCAAAAATTTTCTGTAAAGTTGATTTTTTTTATTAACCGATTTTACTAAGCCGTCTGTCATCCAGATATTTCGCTTAACCCCACATTTTTTTTCTTTATTTGTTTGGTATTTTTATTGATTAATGAAATAAGGGTGTGGGTAAAATTATTTAAGAAAGCATTAGGGCTATTCATATCAGAACAGTGATCCCAATTTTGAAAACTAAGATCTCTTTTTAAATCATCATAATTAACTATTTTCCTAAACTTAATCTTGCATTCAATTTTACTTTTTTCAAAAGAAAAACGTAAAAATGTTGCTTATGATCAGTTACAGAAAGATCCAGAACAGCTGGTAAAGCATTATTATTAATACAAAACTTACTTTTTAGAAAAATGTGGTCTATACAACTACGAGAATGTACTCTGCCCTGAACTATAGTATTTTTATTTATTATTGATAAAAATTATGTTCACTCAATATGCTTAGATACTCAGAAGAATCTGGTGCCATATTTTTAATATTAATATTAATATCACCCAATAAAACATAATATTTACAAACATAATTTTTAATGCTCTCTAAATATTTGTCTAGACCAATACAAGAATGCTCTTCATCTGTCGATGGTGGTCTATAAATTAATGTTAATATTGTATTTTGATTATATTTACCTAATAAAGTTATCTCTAATACCTTACATACACTAATGTTTACAATCCTCCACGTAAATCTTAAATTCTTTTTTATGTATACAACAACACCATCATTTTGATTTATATCTCCTTCATTATATAAAATGTTATAATTATCTGTTTGAAATAAATATATATCAGGAATGATCCAAGTTTCCGTTAGACATATACAGTCAAAATCAAGTGTCATCTGTTGTATATTTAATCGTAACTGATCTAGATTTTTATTAAGGCTTCTAATATGTTGGTGTTAAATGGTAAAATTTTCATTATTATTACCTTTATTAAAATCCGCAGTTCACTTATTAAAATCTTCAATATGTTTAAGTTTATGAGTAATTACGGGAATGTAGTCTACATCACGAATGTATGGATCCATACTATAACAACAACTAAAAAAAATTGATAGTGAAATACCTAAGAAAAAAAAATTGTCTTACAAAACTCTAGTACTTACTGCTTTGCTGCCGAGTATTAACTCTCTCTTTGGTACCTGAAGTAGAGTTGTGTCTGGATTTTGGCTTTTTTCCTTTTTCGTGTCTATCTTCGTTTTTGTTCTTTTCCAGTCCTCTTTGTACTTCTTTATGGTCTACAATATTTTTCTTTTCCGAACTCTTTTTTTCTAATTTACTTTTATCGGTATCTGATTTATTTGTCAGTTTTTCACTCAGTGTAGTTATCAGATCAAGGTTTAGTTGTTGGGTAACCTCTTTTTTCTGTGATGAATTCTTGAGCGTAGCTAAGGTAAATTATGATATGCTGTCTTCAAAAAATGTTTTAGAATTTGGTGTTGGTGTTTCTGGTGCACTGTGTGGTTTAGGTTTTTCTGATTGAACATCATCTTCATTTTCATCCTTTTCCATATTTCTTAAGTCTATATATATATATATATATATATATATATATATATATATATATATATATATATGTATATATATATATATTATATATATATATATATATGTATATATATATATATATATATATATATATATATATATGTATATATATATATATATATATATATATATATATGTATATTATATATATATATATATATATATATATATATATATATATGGGGCTCCTTTTTCCATGGCAGCTTCTGAATAATTCCAAGTACCACAGCTGAATCCAAGTTTATGAAACAAAGTATTAAAAAAATTGTCTTTGTTTTTATATTGCGAGATTGGTCCGTCACTAAAGAAATAAACAACATCAATATTTTCTGTTTTAAGTTTTAATAAAATTGGCATCAGATGGGCCCACGCTGCTAACGGATCATGTCTTCTCGAGTCAGATACTGTGCAGAAATACGTTTGATATACGTGTAGACAGAATTGTTCGTTAAATTCTTTGTTAAAACCTTCCATATAAATGGAATAAGCTTCCCTCTTGTTTAACTTTTACTGTCTTTAAAAATTGTAATGTTTTTCCATTTTTTTCTATTATATTTCTTTCGGTTTTCCAAGCAAACCATGTAACTTGCTTGGATGAATATATATCCTGGCTAATCACTTTTTTATCCTTACAAATTGGACATTTATTAATCATACATAATATCGAATTCACATGACATTTGACAGTTTCACAGAGCCCTTCTAATTCCACTGCACCAACAACTTTTTCTCAAATAAAGAGTTTAAGTTTTTTGTAAATTGTCATGTTTTTTACGTAAACATGAGTTACGTTCTTAAAATTTTGTTTGCACCACCCAAAAAGAACGCCATTTGAAAAAGTTGCTTTTTGCACATTTTATGTTAAATTCCTTGCAAAATTTTTGATGAAGACTATTAATTGAAATCATGAATGTGTTGCCTATATGAGTCCATGTCAGATAGGCAAAAAGAAATAAAATAAGACTAATCAATTTAATTTTATCCCCAAAATCTCCGGTTTCGCTTACTACAATATTCTAAGCATCTTCAGGACTAACGGTAAATTTACCTGGTACCTGAAGATGCTTAGCAAATTGTAGTAAGCGAAACTGGTCGTTTTGATGGTAAAATTAAATTGATTGTGAGTAAGTCGTATTCTATTTCTTTTTAGCTATTATTATTATTTATTATTATTGTAATATAAGCGAGGGCGGAGGAACTAAGTCCATATTATGCCCAAAAAACAAAGAAATTTCATTAATCACCTACTAGTAAATAACAAAAATTACAAATTAAAGAAATAAAATTACAATTTTATGGTTTAAAAGAAAAACAATATTTTAACTATAATATAAAACGGTCAAGTCTGTTTTTTAAAGAGTTGGTAGAGGGAGCGGAGACAATGTTATCGTTGACGTTATTCCAGCACTCAAAAACTCTATTTGGAAGAAAGTTCTGTCTTGGTCTTGTAGAAAAAATTTCTTCACAATGATTCACAAGTGAATGAATGATCAGTTTTATTTAGGTGAATCATCAAGGCCATTAAATGTTAGAATAAGTGAACATCAATCTTATATTAAAAATAGATAATTTGATAGATCTCAAATATGTAAACACGCATGAGATAATGAACATAGGGTTCAATGGAATAATTAAAATGTAGTCCTAAAAGAAACGGATGGTAAAAAAAGAAAAATCTAAGAAGCGGCTCTAATTATGCTAAATGAGGCCAATTGTGTCGCAAATTCCTCGGCAGAATGTAGTAGGATCTGGTTACCAATATTGAAAGAGGAAGTTATTAATAAGAAAATACCAGTATTAGTAAGTCAGTAACATATTGTTACGAACATGCTTTCGGCATGACTCATATAACGGTTACATCTCGAAACGGCTTCCAGAATCATCCTTAGATCTCTCGAAGGCAAGAGAACAATGGGCCACGTGCGCGAATTAGAGGTGGGAACTTTCTAGAATATAGTAACTTAGGTATATATATGTAACGACCTTAGGAGTTAGTTTGGTTGATAAGAGAATACCGAACTGTAAAGTTATAAATAAATATACTTATATAAATTCGAACCGCTCGTTTTATTTAAAAACGGTACAGTGGTGTCCGGTATGAGATTTGAAAATAAATGCAGCAGTGATTTAAAAAAAAAAAGACTTTTGAACTTTTGAACTTTTGAAAAGTATTGTTCGTCGGGAACATCCGCGTATTTCGGTAGTGATCTTTGTACGAAAGAACATTTAAAAAAAAAAAGTACGTGTGTGCTTGACCAAAGATGCTGCTAGTAGAACTTTCAGTGAAACAGTTGCGTGAGCAACTAGAAGAACGCGATGAAGACTGCAGCGGGTCCAAGAAGATACTCCAAGAACGACTGAAGACTGTTCTCAACAAGAATGGAGACGACCCAGAGACATTCCAGTTCCAGTCAGCAGAAGAAGCCGTCCTAACTAAAATAATTGATGGAAAATTCGAGACTGTTTCCAAAAGATTCGATGAAACGTCTCAAATTATTAAAGAAGTAGCTAGACAAAACGACGAAAAACTCGAAAATGTGTCAAAAAGATTCGACGAGAAATTTGAAAATGTTTCTCAAATGATGGAAGAAACTTCAAAAAAAAATAATGAGAAATTTGAAGAAGTTTCTAAAACATTCGATAAGGTAGAAGAGAAGATCAAACAGTTAGAGAGCATGATAACTAACACGAAAGTGCTACCACTAATTAATACGGTAGCTTTAGATCCGGTAGTGAAAGAAGAATCATCTAGAGACGAAATGACACATAATATGAGATTCAAATTACCACCATTTGATGGAAAGTCCTCTTGGTCCATATACCTTAGACAATTTGAAGCTATTGCGACAGCCAATCATTGGACAGAACAAGAAAAGGCTGTTTCCTTGACTGCTGCTTTACGAGGTGATGCTGCAAATATCCTAAGATCGATTCCTAAGGGTCAAGAAAAATGTTACCAGACCTTGTTTACTCGACTAGACAAACGTTACGGAGATGCCCATCTACAACAAGTCTACAAGGCGCAACTAAGAAGTAGAACTCAACGAGCAAGTGAGAATTTGCAAGAGTTTGAAGCAGATGTTGCTCGTATAGTGCGGTTGGCTTATCCGGAGGTACCAGACAACATTTTGGAAGAAATTGCCGTAGATACCTTCGTCAATGGGTTAAAAGAAAGTGAATTACAGAAAGCTTTACGACTAGCAAGACCGAAAGTTTTAGATGAAGCGCTCGCTATTGCCTTAGAACATGAAACAGCTAGTCAAACTTCACGGAGCCATCGAGTAAGAGCCATTGAGGAAGGCGACGAACCAAACAATGAACGTCTAGAAGAAATGGTACGAAAACTAGTTCATAACACGCTGCCGAAGAGACGCGAGCCCAGATGTTGGAATTGTGGTGAAGTAGGTCACATTCGCCGTAATTGCAAGAAAATGATACAACAGTCGGAAAACTAGAACGGGTCGACACTAAGGGGCAACTGCCGACCTCGAGAAACACAGCCCCCATAGTAACTGTTAACATTACGTCCTACGGTGGAATTCATAGCTTGTACATCGAAGGTCGTATTAATAATAAATGTATATCATTTTTGGTAGATACAGGTGCAACAAGAACTATAGCACGGCCAGAAGTAGTACGAGACCATCTTAAATTATCGCCTGCAACAGTAAAGCTTAGAACAGCAACTGGTGAGATAATTAATACATATGGCGAGGCTAATATGTCAGTATCCATTGGCCAGACCACAGTGAAACATCGAGTATTAATTGCAGAGATCTCTGACGAGTTCATATTGGGGATGGATTTACTACGGAAAGTTGGGGCTGTATTGAATGTCAAAGATGGAGTCCTCGAGATCGGTGGTGAAGAGTTGCCGTTTCATGAAGACAAAGAAAATGTTATCAGCTTAATAACTACTTGTGACGTAACAATACCCGGTAATAGTGAGAAAATTTTGATGGCCACACCTGATGGTTACTGCCGAGAGGGAAGTTTAAGGATGGTCGAAGATGTGAACAATGCCGAGTTCCTAACGGCAAAAGCTTTGGTAAGAATTCGAGATGTCGTTCCTGTAAGAGTTATGAATTTAAAGGGAACTGCTATTAAGTTAAGTAAAAGAACTTTGATCGGACAGTGTGTTCCCGTGGTTTCGATTTGTTCCATGAGTACTAATGAGAAACCGTCGAAATCTAAATATCCAAAGGAGCTTGTAGAGACGATGATTAAAACGTGCCAAGATCTTGATGATGAACGAACTAAAAAAGTGAAGTCTATGCTGATAGAATTTCAAGATGTTTTTGCCATTGATAAGAAGGATAATGGCAAAACAAGCATAGTAAAGCATAAAATTAATACCGGAGATGCTCAGCCAATTAGACAACAACCTAGACGACTTCCATTTGCGAAAAGAGATGAAGCTGAAGACATCATCAAAGATATGAACAAACAAGGGGTAATTGAACCATCAAACAGTCCATGGACATCACCAGTAGTGCTAGTAAAGAAGAAAGATGGTTCAACACGTTTTTGTATTGACTACCGACAGCTCAATGCGGTAACTAAAAAAGATAGTTATCCTTTGCCCAGAATAGACGATACTTTGGATACACTTTCTGGTTCTCGTTGGTTCTCCACACTCGATCTGAAAAGTGGATATTGGCAAGTAGACATGGAGCCAGCTGATCGTGAGAAAACCGCATTCTCGATAGGATCAGGGCTTTGGCAGTTCACAGTTATGCCCTTTGGTTTATGTAATGCTCCGGCCACATTTGAAAGATTAATGGAGGCAGTTTTAAGAGGTCTAACATGGAAAACATGCCTGGTTTATTTGGATGATGTA